TCCTCCTCCTCCTCCTCCTCCTCCTCCTCCTCCTCCCATTTGAAGAATTCCAACCAATTTACAAGTTATTCAATCAGACTAATTTGCCTCAGTATTAAAACGGACTAATTTCTCTTCAGGCAATATTCTGGGCCCAACACTTTTTCAGAATGAGTTTAAAGTTTATAAAGATATTTTGTTCAGAAATTGTAATGCATATTAATAATAGCACTTCTTATAACTTTGAAACAACTAGTAGGTGTGCCCCAAGAACATAATGGGAAATGTTTGATTTCAGTAAAGTGAAACTGCATCTTTTTGCTTCTGTTTCATCAGATTATGTAAATGCATAACTTCAAAATCCAATTGCAAAATAATATTGATTTAACCTAAAAATCTAATACAAGGATTTACATGCTCTGGTGAAAGGGAGTATTGGCCTTTTACAGCATGCAGCTCCCTTCCAGACTTAATTTTATAAGCCATGCTTGATTGAACCCAGTACTTGTTCTGTGAGGTATTACATAATTTAGGAAATATAACCATCGGAGATACATGTTTGCATGTATGCATGATGTGACATGTGCACATGTGTATGCATGTAGGCATGTGCATGTTTGTGTATATATATAGACATAGATGCACAATTTCTATGTATAGACTTCTTTTATTGAAATTACATGGCAAATTGCACTTTTGACTTAAAATGTATTGACAGTAGTTAAATGCTTTTCATTGTTATGTGAAAATGTACTGAATGTGCAAATATGTGAAAGAAGTTCTTGTGAAGGGATAGGAGTTAGAGGGAATGCTACTAGATTTCACTGCAGGTAGTCCTTGTTTTGCGACTGTTCACAATTATGATAGTGATGAAAAAGTAACTTTATGACCAATTCTTGCATTTACAACCATCACAAATCTGTAAAGCAAAGGAAAGATGAAGTAAGATTGTAAGCACAGTTCCAGTTTCACTTAGCAACTGCTTTGCTTAATGACCGAGTTGCCAGTGCCAATTGTGATCACTAAATGAGGACTAACTGTAGTCCAGCCAACTGTGTTGCTATAAAGAGGAAGGTCAAGGAGAGTGGAATTCTACAGGGATTATTGCCACTACAACAATCCCACCTTTATTCCTAGCATTTTCAAAATCCAGTGATTTTTACTGTCAAACAAATAAAAAATGTACCCTTTTTACTCTGGTTAACATATGACTGGAGTGGATGGGAGTGGAGTAAGGAGTGAACAAAAGGTAGTCTTTTGATGCAGTAGTGGGGAAAGGTAGAAAGTGAGAGACAGGAAGAGAGAAAGTACTGGTTGGAAATTTGCCAAATCCTTTATAAAGTTCGTATACAAATATATACTCTATGTTCCATATATTTGCTTCTAGCCTCTGAATGAAGGTTGGATTCAAACAAGACTCTTGATACAGCAGATGACTTCTTCATACTACTGCTGCTATAAGTCATATGCATTTCCTCCCTTTCCACAACTGCTACAGCAGAAATTCTTCTATGTTGACTTCTTGGGTGTTTGGTCTAGTTTCTTAGAGAGGAGCGCACCAAGCTTTCAGCTGTCTCCAGTCATATTGCTTTGCTTCCCTCTAGTTTCTTGATACCATGACTTCAACTCCTTTTCTCTCAGGACCTGTTTTCTGCCCTGGTGTTTTTTCTTTCTTCCAAAATGTCTGCTGATTTGTTCCTGATGGTCTGTCCTCGGGGCTTCTTCTGCTGGTCTACTCCCTCTCAGAGTTGCCTTCTATAAACAGTTGTTGAACTGAGTGGTGACACAACCTTTTGCCCAGCAATTTAACTGGGTCTTAACCCAACCATTTTATTGGTCCATTAAGAGTCTAATGTTCACACAATCTTAGTTTTCTGAGACATTTTTCCATTGGTTGAAAAGGACAGGTACTTTGAACTTCAGGATTTGTATATAAAAGTGAGTGGAAAACTCACCAGCATTGTTTGTTTTCATCACGTGTTTGACACTTGAACCAAACATTGCTTTTTCACAGTACTTAGAAAATCCTTACCCTAATACAAATATTTAAAAAGCTGAATTTGGCCTATTTATTTCATTTTAGATAGATGTAGGCAGATCTCTCTCTCTTTTTTCAGGTCCATTCTTTTTTTACAGATCAATGGCCAGATAGAATTTTTTGGAGCTAAAGATCTACCAGTCTGCCATCCACTTTTTAGAGATACTTATCATTTTCTTAAATTGAAGCAGCAATTCTTCATTACTTTTGGAATGCAGATGAGTACATAGCAGAAAAGAAATATTTGCCACTGCCCATCTTTGTGTTAGTGTCCCAGGGGAAATTGAAGTAACTATGCAACGAGAGCTTTGTGTTGAATTTAAAGAGGCCTGTATTCTTTTATAAGACTACATATAAACAACATGATATTTCAGTATAATTTATAAGAAGAGACATTTTGTGATTTTTTTATGACTTTTGACTACCATTATGTTTAATTAAATATTTTCTGCATCAATTACTCAGCAGCTGTATGATCTCTTACAGCATTTCCCCATAACTCTTCAGGGATTAATTAGTCTTCTGAATATAAACACATAAATATAAAACTTACACACACACACACACACACACACACACACACACACACTCCTATATATAAGCAAAGATGCGGTAATCTATATTTATATGATAATATTATATTACATGTTTAAATATCAGATGAAAAATATGCTTTAATTGCTGTTGTAATAGCTATTTGTCTCTGCATTTTTTCCCTTTCGGAAAGGTATTCAGGAATCTCCTATACCAAATGGCCATTCGCTTGCGGGTCGAGACTTCCTTCGGAAACAAATGCGGGGAGATCTTTTCACTCAGCAACAATTAGAAGTCTTGGATCGAGTTTTTGAAAGACAGCATTATTCTGACATTTTTACGACAACCGAACCCATCAAACCAGAGCAGGTAATATTTAGAATGGAAGAAATTTTTCTTTTTCCTACCAGTTTCTTGGCATCAATTATTTCATATTTGACATTTACAGTACTGTCTGTCACATAATTTTTAATTGGATACTTTTAATACTTGGGAAACCATATTTGATAACAAGTATTATCACCTTCAGTATTATCATGTTCAGTTTTTACTATTCTTCAATTAATAATTGATACTGGGAATCTGATCCTCATTCTTACAAATGTACACATAGGGATACTCTATACAGAAACTTGGAGATGGTGCTGGGAGTAAAAAAGAAAAAAGCAAACGTAGGAGGAGAATGAGGGCCCAAGAATTCCCATGAGCTCACAAAAAAATTAAGACAGCAACAAAATGCATCCTGGAAGTAAATTAAATGAGAATTAAGGACTCATATTGCAGAATATGAAAGGGTAGTACATGAGCTTATAAGATTAAAAAAACAACTCTGTAATCCAATGTTGATTTCTGTTTTCACATATGTATTAAATTAACCCTGGTAACATACCTCTAAGGCAGAGGTGCACAACCCTATTTGGGACAAGGGCCTTCCTTGGCTTTTGTTTGGCCAGGATTATTCTCTGAAATTGGGACAATAAATCGGGAGGACAAAAACTAAATTTGTTCAACTTAGATTCAGTTAATTAAATTCAGTAAATATGATTACTTCCCCTGTCAGATTTAAAATTACAACTTGGTGACCTTTCCTAAGGATTTGGGGGGCCATATCTACCCCTGATATAAACCACTGCTTTTCCTTACTCTTACACTGAACTTGAGACTATGATCCTAAATGAAATTAAGTACCCATTAATGTACACTGACTTCTGTGACACAGATAGGTTTGTGTATACCTCTTCTCTGCCAATCTTTGTGTCTTAATTTTGGTTGTGCTGTGCCCATTCTAACTGTCTGCTTCCTTTTTCAAACTAAAATATTAGATGAACATTGTGAGATGAATCAGACGTTTTGATTACAACTCTAGAAAGGGAAAGATATATATTGAAATAAAGTTCCCTTCCCCCTCTATTAATTTTATAAAAGAGAACAGATTTTCTGAATAAAAGAGAAAACACGTAGTTGTGAGTACAGTCCATTCTTACCAGTTAGATAACATGCAAGAATCTTTGTTGGTTCAATTATGATTGATTGATTGATGGACTGACTGAGAATGTGACATCAAGTTGGTGTTGACTCCTCGCAACCACATAGACAGATGTTCTTCAGGATGATCTATCTCCAGCCTGACCCTTCAGGACTTCCAGTGGTGCACCTATTGCTGCTACAATGGAGTCCCTCCATCTTGCTGCTGGTCATCCTCTTTTTCTCTTTCCCTTCATCTTTCCCAACATTATAGACTTCTCAAGAGAGCTAAATAGTCATATAATGTATCCAAAATATGATAATTTAAGCCTGGTCATTTGTGCTTCATGTAGGAACTCTAGATTGATTTGTTCTGTGATCCTTTTGTTTATTTTCTTGGTTATCCGTGATATGCTCAGGGGTCTTTCCAACACCACCATTCAAAAGTGTTAATACTATTTTGCTTCTTCAAAGTCCAACTTTTATTTCCATAGAGTGTCACAGAGAAAACTATTGCTTACATGATTCTGAACTTCTGATAGATACATCATGATATCTGAAAACCTTTTCGAAGGCCTTCATGACAACTTTTCCCAGTGCTAGTCTGCAACAGACTTATTGACCACTGTTTCCTTTATTGTTGATAGTCATTCCTAAAGGGCAGAAGGTATCCATCACTTCAGTATCTTCACTGTCAGTTTTAAGGCTGGTTGCTATACCTGTGATTGTTAGTTTGGATTTTTAATATTTAATATTTAAATATTTTAATTTAATTTAATTTTTTAATCCCATTTTTTTCACTGTGCTTCTTGACTTACATTATTAGAGCTTCCACATCATTTGCATTTTCAGTTATCAGAGTGGTGACATCAGAATAGCCCAGTTATTGATATTTATTTCTTCAGTTTTAAAATCATGCTCAGCTTCTTCCAATCCAACCTCCCTCAATATACTGTATATTCAGCATATAGAGTAAACAAATAAACAGGGAGTACATAGCCTTGTTTCATTCTTTTGCTGACCTGGAGCCAGTCTGTTTTGTCATGCTTGTATGGACTGTGGCTTTTGTTCCCTGTATAGGTTTTGCGTGAGAACAATGAGATGTTCTGGGATTTCAGTTTTCCTAACAATGTTCTATAGCTTGACATGGTTAACACAATCAACGGCCTTCCTATAATCGATAGAACACATATAGACTTCTTTTGGTTTTTGTAATTATTATTCTTTGGCTTTTGTAATTATCCAGCATGCATCAGCAGTAATATCTCTTGTTCCTTGGCTTTTTCTAAAACAGCTTGAACATCTTGCTTCTCCCTTTCCATTCAGGTACCTAATCTGTGTGGATGATATTAAGGAGAATTTTGCTAGTATGTGAAATTAAGGATATTGTGTGATAGTTGGCATATTTTGTTAAGTCTCCTTTCTTTGGTATTGGTATATAGACTGACCTTTTCCAGTCTGTTGGCCACTATCATTCCCCATATTTGCTGACATAGTTTGGTTGGAAATTTTACTGATTCTTCTTTTGTTACTTGCCATATTTTTTATAGATACTCCAACAATTTCTGTAGCCTTCCAACTTGATCATGACTGGAATGCTGATCTAACTTAATCTTCTAGTATTAGAGGTTCTTGTACATAGGGATTATCTTCTATGGTATCTTGCTTATAGACATCTCTACTGTACAATGTTCAGTATTTTCCTCCGATATTGGTCTGATCTTTGAATCAATTATCTGTTCACTGCCATCTTTCAGCATACCTATTTGAAGTTGGAACCTCCTTCTGAGTTTGGAGATCTTTTGGAAGACTTTCCTTGGTTTTCTGCATGTGTTTCCATCTTCAGTGACTTTACAGATGCTGGAATACTGCTTATTCTAACAGCTCTCAGAAATTCTTTGTCTTTCTTAGCTTTGTCTTTCTTAGCTGTGGCTTCTCTTCTCTTCTTGGCAATTTCCATCATCTACTCTGACATCCAGATTGCTTTCTTCTGTTTCTTGGTGTTTAGTAGTCTTTTTTCATATTCATTCTTAACACCTTCTCTGATTTAATTCCATGGTTTCTCTGATTCCCTATCAATGAATTTCCTGAGGTTTAGATCTTCAAAGCAATTCCAGATGTTCTCCTTGAAAATAGTGGTCATATGCTCAAGACCATATCATGGAAACTGCAAGCTTTATTGTTCAGCTTTAGTCTGGCTTGGAACTTGCACATCAGCAGTTTGTGATCTGTTCCATAATTAGCCCCTGGCCACATCTTTGCAGTTATAACTGAGCTCTTCCATCTCCTTGTGACAATAATATAGTCCATTTGTTTTCAGTGAACTCTGTCTGGTGATGTCCATGTATGTAGGTATTGTTTTGATTGTTTGAAGAATGTTGTTAACAATTAAGAAATTATTGGAGTGGCAGAAAATGATAAGATATTCTCCTGCTTTGGTTCAGTTTTCTAGGCCATACAGTCCAACTACAGTTTCCTCCTTATTATTTCCAGCTTGGGCATCCCAGTTACCAACCACAAGCAGCACATCTTGCTGCATGTTCTGTTGATTTCAGATTGAACTTGACTATAATACCTGTCAACTTCCTCTTCATCTGCATCAATGGTGCAATAAATTTGGATAACTGTCATATTGAAGAATTGTCTGTGTAGTCTAACTGATATTATCCAGGCATTGTTTACTTGTATCCAAGTATTGTTGTTGCTATATTCTTCTTGACTATGAAAGCAATCGTGTTCCTTCTTTGTTTTTAATGTCCTGAGTAGTAAACAGTGTGATCTTCTAACTGTCATTATGATGGTGGAATGAAGTTCTATTTCAGCCCACTTCAATTCACTGATGCCTAAGATGTTAGTGTGTATTCGATTCATTTCATCTTTCACTGTGTTGAGTTTTCCCATGTTCATGCTTCTTACTTTCCATGTTCTCACTGTAATTCTGTCTTTGCAACTTTAGATTTTCTTTTCCTGCAGGGCAGGATCAGCCACTGGATATCTTGAAGGCTCATAAACATAATTAGTACTCCAATAGATCCTCAGCTCTTCCTCAGCAGTGTGTTGGGTGCCATTCGATCCGAGGTGCCCATCATTCATCACTATATCATCAATCCTTTTATATTATCAATCCATGTGGTTTTCTTGGTAAAACTGAGGAATGGCCTTCTCCCATACAATATGAAATTATGTCTTTGCTGTTGTCACTAAAGTGTTCGTCCAGCTTCATCTTCTTCCTATATCATTGCTGTCCAAAATAAGTGCCAACTTGCTTTAGCTAGGCAGCTGGGATGACCTTCATGTCTTGGGTGATCCTTCTGGGAGTATATACTTTTGGTGTACACTCCCATAATTCTTCACTCAAATGTCCCAGGAATAACCCCCTCCATGATGAGGCAGCATAGCAGGATTTGAGGGCAATATTTGTTCAATAACCATCAATAATGAGAAACAGCCTTTCCAAAAACCAATCTGGGTACCTGGCAGGCCTTTAGTTAAATGAGAATGTATAATAGATGGGAACCAACTATCTGTAAATTCTTCTTTTGAACTTTATTTTTGAGCCAACCTCATTCTGTCTGTTAATTTTTCTGCCACTTTTCAGATTTTAGCAAGAGCATTAGTTCTGCAAAAGCTTTCATTTGTGGCTACTTTTGTGCTGTTGCTTATAAGAACTTATAAAGTTCTTTCTTATACCCATGAAGACTGAAAATAGAATGAGAGCCTCAAACTACTTAATAATATGCCCAACAACTTTTAAAGTGAAGGTCAAACTTGGTTCTGAAAAAACTATAACAACTTTGTAGTCCTTCTACTATGACAACAATGAGGACGACGATGATGATGATGCCTTTGAGTCAGTGTTGATGCCTGGTGACTGCCTGGACAAGCCCTTTCAGTTTTCTTGGCAA